GAACCCTATGCTGCCACCACCAAGCGTGTTAAACAAAGAACAGGGAAAGAGCCCGCTTGGAGACATCTTCCCCCAGAATATCCCCCCAAGCCCTACACCCCCTTTCCTGGGGAAGGCTTGCTAAAAATCCTCACCAATTTGTACAGGTGAACACAGACCCAAACCCTTGGATCTTAAGAACAATGAAAAATCAACCAGGTTCTTAAAAGAAGAATTTTAATTAAAGAAAAGGTAAAAGAATCACCTGTGTAAAATCAGGATGGTAAATACCTTACAGGATAATCAGATTCAAAACACAGAGAATCCCCCTAGGTAAAACCTTAAGTTACAAAAAGACACAAAAACAGGAATATACATTCCATTCAGCACAGCTATTTTACCAGCCATTAACAAAAGGAAATCTAACACATTTCTAGCTAGATTACTTACTAACTTTACAGAAGTTTCTGAGACTGCATTCCTGATCTGTTTCCGGCAAAAGCATCACACAGACAGACAGACCCTTTGTTTCCCCTCCTCCAGCTTTGAAAGTATCTTGTCTCCTCATTGGTCATTTTGGTCAGGTGCCAGTGAGGTTATCTTAACTTCTTAACCCTTTACAGGTGAAAGGGTTTTGCCTCTGGTCAGGAGGGATTTTATAGCACTGTATACAGAAAGGTGGTTACCCTTCCCTTTATTTTTATGACAGGAGCTTTGGTTCCCACTTGATCAAGAGCTTTGGCTTCTGCCTTTCCTGTTGATTGCGATGTGCTCTTGGATTCTCTGAGATTAGCACACTTCAGGAGAGGGGTTCATGTTGTGGTGGAGATATGCTGTGTGATTTGCTTCAGTAACTAGAAACATTCTTCAGAGTATATTGCAGACGAATCTTTCTATGGTACAGTGTTTTTACTAAAAGCTAAGGTTGCAGCTATATGGATATTTATTCTGAGTGTGTTCCATGCTGCATCAGCATTCAGGGAAGGTTCAATTGATTAAATAGATTCCCTGAAATTCACAGTGAATTAGACACACCTTCCTTTGTCTCTGTGATGTTGATGTTAATGCATGGGTAACAGCTTTGTTTGGTATAATGGAATTTCCATAGTGAAAGCCTGATTTTTAGCAGTAGACAAGTACATGGTCTGTGTCACATTCTGCACTGGGAAAGCTGTGAGTATGGAGAACATCCTGTAGGTGTTTTATGTGGGTGACCATTAAACCAATTTGATACTAGTGTTTAGATCAAGGGTGTTTCCATAAGACTCTCCAGCAGTCACTGTCTTGGAAGCAGGTACTGGTAATGCATGGCCCTTAGTGGGTGTAAAACTCGAGTAGTTTTTTCCCATTGTCATTCATGTTTCCCATTTCATGCTGGCCACATCTTCTGATCTGAGATGAAATCTCCCAACAGATAGAGTTGCTTGCCTGTTGATAGCTTGCTGATGATGCTGTCAAGTTACTGATAAAATAACTGACATTATAGAACACTAGGGCACTCCCTACCAATCCCAGAGAAGCTAACTGCTGAGAACAAAGACAATCGCCACAGTCAATTTGGGCACAGAGTATGCAAAGCAAAATGTTAGTAGAGCATATCTGGTATTTTCACTGGATGATAGAAAGTGATATCTGAGAAATGGGGAACTATCTACTGGTGCTTTCTTTAGATGGGAAATGTCACATCCCACGTTGTCTCCAGTCAGGGGTATTCTTCTCAGTTAAGAACCATTTTTTTAAAGCTCTTGTATTTCTGTAGTTACTCCATCAGAGGATCTGAAGGTGGTTTACAGACAACAAATTATGTTTTGCAAAATGGTCATGAGGGAAAGAAGTATTAACCTCTTTATGCCTCTTTCCCTCAGAGCATAATGGATAAGTGACTCCCACAATAGATTTCACAGTAGAAACAAAACACAGATAGTCTAACTCCAAATCCTAGGCTTTAATTACAGGACCATCCTTCAAATATTTGAGTCGGAGAGCCCTTCAGTCTTAGCCTCCACTGTTCCTTATTTCTTACCAGCATCGGAGTGATGCCATTGATATACATTCCCAGCATCCCACATCACCTTGTATGTCATCCTGCGTGCATTACAAGATATAACAGATTCACTAGCAAACTGTTCATGTTTAAATTTATACTTTCAATGCAAATGATTTAACAAAATATATCCCAAGATCTTTTTTATTTTATTTTAAATTGGACATACAGCTTGGGTTACAATATATCATCTCTCAGTTTAGGGAACTCCCATAGGGTGGTGGTTATTAACCACTAGGTGCCACAGTTGTTTCATACAAATGCAGTTAAATGAGTCTTGATCTGTCATGGAAAAAAGTCTCAAAAAGCCTATATGGTATATCAAAATTTTGGTAATGTATTATATTTCCAGAATATAGGTATATCTGTATATTCATAATCAGAATCCATTTAAATATTTAGCTTAATGTTTACTTCACTTTTCTTTCTGCTTAAGAGTTCTCTTTATTAACTAATTCTTTTAGTAGCACACACTACCTTAAAGTGTGGCTTCACTCTTAAAAGTAAGTATATAAAAATATCCTTTTTAATCAGAATTCATCTCTCTACTCATTTAATTAACAAAGTTTCAACTGTTTTTAGACCTGAAAAGCCAGAACAGCTGTAACGGAATGGCTCAGGGGTCATTTCATCTTATGTATCATGAACAAGATTGTGTAACTGAGTGGTACTTAATAAACCTGAGCAACCATACTGAAGGTAATACAGGTGCACTGGTATCACTGAGGCCATAATTTGAAGACAAAGGGGCTGCATAGCTGTAAATGAACATCTGTTGATGCACAAGACTGAAAGAAACTAGCCTAAGTCTCAGAGAGCAAGCTAAATTTGCAAGGGTGGCAATTGGGAAGGAAGCATAGTGTAGCTCAAAAGCTTGCACCTTTTACTAGTAGAAGTAGGTCCAGTAAAAGATACTACATTACCTACCTTGTTTCTCTCATATTCTGGGACTGACATGGCTACAAGATGGCAAGCAGTTAGAGAAGAACTGAGGGATATCTCAAAAAATGTATTGGAATTAGGAAAGGGACAAAAGGGCAACAAAAATGACTAGGGGAATGTAACAGCTTCCATATGAGGAGAGATTAATAAGACTGGGACTTTTCAGTTTGGAAAAGAGATGACAAAGGGAGAGGGGGAATCTGATATAGGTCTACAAAATCATGACTGGTGTGAGAAAGTAAATAAAGAAATTTACTCCTTTTTATAATAGCAGAACTAGGGGGTCACTAAATGAAATTAACAGACAGTAGGTTTAAAACAAATAAAAGGAGGTATTTCTTCACACAACGCACAACCTGTGGGACTCTTTGCCAGAGGATGTTGTGAAGGCCAAGACTATAACAGGGTTAAAAAAAAACCTAGATAAATGCATGGAGGATAGGTCCATCAATGGCTATTAGATAGGATTGGCAGGGATGGTGCCCTAGCCTGTGTGTGCCAGAAGCTGGGAATGGGTGACAGGGGATGGATCACTTGATGATTACCCATTCTGTTCATTCAGGCAGCAGCACCTGGAATTGGCCACGGTCAGAAGACAGGATATTGGGCTAGATGGACCTTTGGCCATACTGGGTCAGACCATTCTTATCTTCTTAGAGATGGCTAACAAAGGGTGGCATGTTAGAGCCCATGGATATCTCTTGATCCTAAGAAGCGTCACTTCTAAAAAACATTGATAAGCTTCCATGCTATAGCTCTGTGGAAACAGTACAGTCTGAGAACAAAAGTTACTTTGGAAGTAACCTCTCTGTGGGTAATGACTATGCAGAGTGGGTTCTTCTATTAAGTATGCAAAGTATACTTTAGGAATAAGGCTTACATATTCTACAATGAAGACGTAAAATATCTATACTGACTTTCGTCAAAAACAGAAATGGAAAAGGAGTTTCATTCTTCGAGCTGAGAATAATGTGAGAGAATTACCATTTTTGGAAAAAAAACAACCCTGTTCTATAAAATATCTTCTTTTTCCCACTCTTCCATTGCTTTTATCTGGCTCTACCAGCCTTCTCTCCTCCCCACCTCAATGTCACTCAGTCTTGCCTTCTTTACATCTGATGTATAATAAACAAGCCACGGAGGAGGAGAGGAATACATTTCCTGGCTTGAAAGTTATTAAGTGTTCAAAGCCAAGGAACAGATGGGGTGGAGGACTGAAGTTTCCACAGCCTCCCTCACAAAATATATCACCACGTTGCCTTTAGTAATTATCCTTTTGAAGGGAAAACCGGGCACTCCTCTCTTTTTGTGAAGTCCTGTGCCCTCTTTCAGCTAAAGAAAACGTGTGAGTGCTGGTGACGCAATACCGCTCTCCCCGTTATAGCGGTGGGGGATGAGTAAAGGTGTGGGTGCAGTGTTAAGGTCCCCCGGCCTCCAATACCTACACACTTGATTGGACAGCAGCTGCTGCTGGAAGGGGCATTTCTCTCACTAGCGTTAAGCTGCCCGATGCTCCCAGGACCTGGAGGGACGGCGTGGCTGGTAGTCTAGCCCAGCCTGATGCTTTAGGACTTTCCTGACCCCTCCACCGCACCCCGATCCCGCCGCTGCTGCGCCCTGCAGCAGGGTAGCGCGGCTGGGCTAGGGCACCAGGATGAGCCCAGGCTGGAGCTGGGAGGAAGGACGCGGGAGCTGCTGTGCAAGGTCCCTCGCCCCTGTTAGGAGTTGGAGGAAGGACGGGGCGCCAGGGGCAGCGAGTGGGGAAAGGGGAACCGAAGGTGGGGGGCGGAAGGGGGGCACGACCCTGGGCCGGGCAGGGAGCGCAGCAGGAGGAGGACGGGGAGGAAGATCTGGAAAAAGGAGGCGGCCCGTAAAAAAATCGTTTCCTTCCGGAGAAGCAGCTGCGGCGGGGACTCGCCCTGCCCGGGGTCCAGGCGGCGGCGGCGGCGGCTGCTCCCCCTGGGTGTGGCGCTCGGCGGCCGCCGCGGGAGTGGGATGAGCGGCGAGCTGGGGCCGCCGCCGCCGCGTGGAGGAGGCTGAGCGGTGGGAGGGGCGGGGAGGGACCAGCCGCGGCGGTGACAAGGTGCCAGCAGTGGAGGGGCCGCCGCCGCCCGGCTTCTCGCTGCCGCCGCCGCCGGGAGAAGTTTCGCTCCGAGCAACAGACGCCAGCAGCCGCCGTCGGAGCGGGAGGAGGCGCCGGGGCCGGGCCGCCAGGCACTAACTCGGCACGGGGACCCCGGCAGCAGCCTCCTCGCCCCGCAGCTCGTGTGCGGGACCCTCCCGCCCCGGAGCCGCCCCGCCCGCCCGCCCGCACCATGGCAGCGCGGTCCCGCAGAGCCTGGCTGAGCGTGGTGCTGGGGCTGGTGCTGGGCTTCACCGCCGCCTCCTGGCTCATCGCCCCCAGAGTGGCCGAGATGAGCGAGAGGAAGAGACGCGCCTCCAGCCTTTGCTCCTACTACGGCCGCGCGGCGGGGGGCGCCCGGGCGCAGCAGGAGGGGCGGCGGCGGCGGCCGTGCTGGGGGGCACCGGCTTCAGGAGCAGCCCTTGGGAGCTGCAGCCGCAGGCGGAGGGGGGCACCGTCCCCAGCCCTGCAGCCGCGCCCGGCGGGGACGGGGAGCCGGAGGAGGAGGAGGAAGCCGGGGAGAAGCGGAGCGGCAGGCACCGGAGCAGCCACAACGGGAGCGGAGACTGGGGGGGTCCCGCGGGCTGTGCCAAGCCCCGCAACTTCCTCTACGTGGGGGTGATGACGGCCCAGAAGTACCTGGGCAGCCGGGCGGTGGCGGCGCAGCGGACCTGGGCGCGCTTCATCCCCGGCAGGGTGGAGTTCTTCTCCAGCCAGGGCTCCACCGCCCCGCTCGCCGGGCCCGGGCTGCCGCCGCTGCCGGTCGTCGCCCTGCCCGGGGTGGACGACTCCTACCCGCCCCAGAAGAAATCCTTCATGATGATCAAGTACATGCACGACCACTATCTGGACAAGTACGAGTGGTTCATGCGGGCGGACGACGATGTCTACATCAAAGGTGATGCTGGGCACTCAACACCCGTCCCCAAATGCTCACCCCCTCCCGGGGCACTTCCCAGAGCTGCCAAACCGGGACCGGCTGGATGTGGGGGGAGAGTCCCATCAGGGGCAATGACATGCCACGTGGATCGTCAGAAGCAATAACTAAAACCCGTTTCTATCCCCTCTTCTCCCCCACTTTCCAGAGCCGCCAAACCGGGACCATCTGTATAAGTGAGAGTCCCATAAATGCGGGAAACTTTAACTATCTTATTGAAACGTACATAAGTAACCGCTCAAACCTTTTAAAAACTCCCTTAAAACTAACCCTAGTAGGTGAGCTTCCTTCATTCTGTGCTAATCCCCGCAAAAAGAGTGAGATCTGGCAGCAGGTCTGACTCCTGTTCTTCAGCGCGTCCCCACTGGCTGGACAAACACACACCACCTGTGTTTCTGTCTTCCTCTGGGTAGTTTTGAAAAATGTAGCCAGCGCTTGGCTGAGCCCTGTCAGCGATCGCTAAAAGCTAAATCTCCATATTTTGTCTCTTAATCCCAACGCTTCAGCAGGGGTTTATAGCTGGAAACAGAATTGCCAGTACAGGTGTCCGAGAGACTTCAGTTTTGCGGGTGTGTTGGAGATGAGGTCTCCACTCTAGCTTTCGCCCGGGCTTGAGAAATTAATGTATAATGCAGGGTTTTCGCCTGGAACCCTCAATAATCTTTTAAAGGAGCTCTTCGATGTTATCCCAAGGGTAGTTCAGAGATCGTGATTATTTGAGGGATTAGTGTTGCTTTTTCTCCTTCACTCCAATTTGTCTCTTCCCTTTTCACCCCCGAAAGCCAGGACAATAGCAACTGAATGCAATTACTTTTATTTGTAGCAGACTGTAATATTGTGTATGAATTTACGTATTATCTTTAAATACTGATTCCTTCAAGATGCTAGTAGCTGTTCACTACTCATAGAAGTCAGTAGTAATCCTCAGATCTGAGATATGCTAAGGCACTGTTATCCCAGAGTACACTTATGGTTAAGGAATGAGGATACTTTTTAGTCCTAACATACTTGCTTGCTAATATAGTAAGTTGCTTCTGCCACTGAGTAGCGGGGAACATTCATCTGACTTTTGTAATAAATGAGGATGAACTGTCCAGTCTCAGAGGCTTTTAAAAGTGTTCCACTTCCCTTATACCTTATATCTCCAAAGGGTGTGTTGGTTCGCATCCAGAGAAACTTCGATATGTGTCTGCTCTCCGAGGTGTTGTGGGGTTAACCTCGCTTCTCTGTTCCATGTGCGTACTGGGGTGGTTTCCAAGTGATGTATATTATACAAGGCACAGTAGCTGGAACTGTAATCAAGTTGCATAGTGAAGGCAGTTGGTGGGCCGCAAAGCTTTTAGTGATATTAATATTCAGGAACCAAGGCTTTTTCGGTGAAAAATCAATATTCTTGAATGCATTAAGGGCGGTGAAGATGATGTGCTGGAAATTATACTTAAGGATCAACCAAATGCCTCACTGTTTGAACCAAATATTTATTATTTTAATGATGTGCCTCTAGGTTGGCTGACTTAAAGAGGATACCTTACTGCAGTCTGGCCACTTACTTTGGTCAAAGGAAAGAAATCTGCCAGGTTTCACCAGATGCAGAATTTAAGATGAACTTTAGGGAAGAGATTAAGACCAAGGTGGTGGGAATTCAGTTATGCTTTTCACTGTTGTGTGTTTAAAGCTTCCCACATAGCTCAGCTATGCAGCCTAAGGGTGGCAGTCCGTCCTCATCTTACTCCTCTGAATACAACTGTTGCTGCTCACAATACAGGTAGTATTACAAGTCAGACACCCATCCTACTTGGGCACAGCAGTATGAGTTAATGACTGAATTTAGATCTGGCAAAAGTAATTTGCATTAGACTTAACTTTTTTAAAATGAAATGCAACTGTAATGTATCTTTTGCTGCATTTTTAACATATAGATATTTTTGATAAAATACTGGTAATTCCATACATCCTTTGAATCCAGGATTTTCCTTTATTATTTTTGTCCATTAATGTTGCAAAGGTTCCTTGCCAAGCCATTGTCATGCTTTGCAGTATATCTCTGAAAAGCTTTTGCAGCATGCTTTCTATTTAAGTTTTTAGTACCATTGGAAAATGGCCTTCAGATACATGCTGCCTTACAATGTTTGCTGCTGCTTAAGGCAAAATGGTTGTGTTCTGATAAGCAAAATTTTCTCACCATCAATGGATTATGTATATTATTAGCATGAGGGCTAAATTTGGAGTGCCTATTAAAGATGTTATGGAATGTAGCAATTTTGCTAATGAAGGAGATGATTTTCTACCTATTTAATTTTGTCACTTTATTTTTTTTAAATGACTTTATGGACTAACTTGCTTGCTACATTTCATAATTATATATATTCATATATATACACACACACATTTTACAGTATAGAAGTAGTACAGAAAGAAAAACTGCCACTCTTCTTTTGTACTCATCTGTAACTTGGAAGCAACCAATTTTTTTAAATTGCTGCAAGGCTAAATTTATACACCAAATTTAAACTTTAAGAAAATGTTCTCAGAAGGAGAAATTGATATCAAGTTATCTTTTGCTGTAATGCTTTGCATCATTGGAAACATCTGGACAAGTGACTGAACTCTGGTATAGACTTTGGGGGAATATGAAAGAATATTTGACAAAAAACAGGTTTAAATTAATACATCAGTTGTATTTTTTTTTAATTAATCCCATTATATTTGTTTCTGGCATGATATTCTCCATTTGGGGTAATATATCAATGCAGATTTTGCCCATGTAAGTTTACTAGGATGTCAGGTCTAATTATGACTTCTATATACTTCTCCTTATTTTTATAGAGAACTTATACTGGAAATGGAGTTCCAGTACTGTTGTACTGGCAAACCATCCTAATGCAAGATAAATTTTATACTGGCAAAATAATGTTTTTTTCCCCATATAGCTTGTAGCAGTTATCCAAATGAAAGGAACTATACCAGCAAAAGTACTTTTTTGCTGATATAAATGTGTCTACACTAATGGTTTTGCTGATGTAAAATACCTTAAAACTTATGTCAGAATAGGAAGATCGGTTGGGTGTGATTTTTTTTTTCTTTTTAAGTGTGCATTGGAACACAGGAAACTACATTAGACTATTATAGAAAATTATGACAAAGGTGCTTCTTACATTTAAAGAATGGTTGAGATGCAGAAAACTAGATGACTGTTACAAGAGCTGAAAAGATAATGCTCACCTTTTCTCTTCCTAGGGGAAAAATTGGAGGAATTCCTTAGGTCACTGAACAGCAGTAAACCTCTCTATTTGGGGCAAACTGGTCTGGGAAATATTGAAGAACTTGGAAAACTCGGGCTTGAGCCTGGAGAAAATTTCTGCATGGGAGGACCAGGAATGATCTTCAGTCGAGAAGTTCTTAGGAGAATGGTGCCACATATAAGTGAATGTCTTCGAGAAATGTACACCACACATGAGGATGTGGAAGTGGGAAGATGCGTCCGACGGTTTGGTGGAACCCAGTGCGTTTGGTCGTATGAGGTAAGAAGTAATGGATAAGTCATGATGGCTTTAATATACAGATTTCTATATGAGAACGTAAGTAAATGTATCTCTAATCTTTCCCCCTCTTTACTGTTTTTAAGTGCACATATATCAGGATGTAAATTACTGATCATAAAAAGATGAAAAATACATTCACAGAGCCTCATCACTGAAAAATATTTTGGTTTATTTATTTCTGCCCATAAATACAAGTTGTTTTCAGGTGCCTGAGTGAGGTCATATCAGTAAGAAGCTGTATCATAAATGTTAGATATCTATCATGGCTTATTATAATACTAGCTTAAGGGTTTATATGCATTTGTTATATAAATTGCAATTTGTATAAACATACATATTAACATTTAGATCGCTATTTTTCTGATTGCACATAATGTCTTTGTCCTGTACAATCAGTCAACAGATTATATCCTTCTATGAGTTCTTCAACAATGTTATTGTGGTGTTCAGAGTATAGTAGCATTTACTATTTTCCTAATGGTTCAGCTGTACTTTTAATAAAGAACTGTTTGCTATGTGAGAAGGCAAAAGTGGTATGATTACTTTATTCTAGAGTCTAATGAAATGGTGTTTGATGAAGAATATATCACACCAATAGATACAGGCAGCATAACAAATTATAGAAGTCATACATATTCAAGGAGCACATAAATTCCTCTAATATACAGTCAAGTTTTTAAGAAAAGAAGGTACGTATTAGGCTACTAAAATTTTGGTTGCAATGTGGATATTATATTTTACAAAACTAAATAAACCTCTACAGCTGTTTTACTAGGGAGGCTATAATTAGGTGTAAGATTATGCTTGTAGATAAAAATATAGACTTGGAGTACGTGGACAGGAGTCATAGCTGATACGGTGAATATGATTTAAGCTATTTTGACTGGTTCTTTAGTATTAATGTATGCTTGCCATTGTGGCACTATCTCATTAAACAGGAAAAAATAATTTCAGTAGGCTAGTGAAAGAGTGCCATTAAAGACAAAAAGGCAGTGAAGTAATTGGTTTTGTGTGTTGTTATTTTTCAGAAAGCTTCAGCTAAATTTGGTGGTCTTTTTTAAAATGGCTTTGGAAAGCTACATTGGATTTAAATAGGTGAATGACATTATTTCTTTAATGGTTAAAAATCTCTGCTTAGTAAAATATTGCTTGCAGGTGATGGGAGTCTTGTACTTAACCACATTATTAATAAGTTTGTTTTGAAGATTTATTTTGAGAACATTTTGTGTTACAGTGGATAAAATACACTAGTGGCATAGAAAAATTGCTTAAAAATAATGAAATAATGGTGTGCATCATGCAGATGGACATAAAACTTTGACTAGGATTCTCTAATCACTATTTTAATCAAATTACTAAATTTAGATCCAGAGCCTATATTCTAATCTATTTGGGCTACTTCCACACAAAGCCCTACTGAAGTCTGCAGGGAGTCTATCCATGCATAACAGAATGCAGGATGGTCCCTCAGTCCTAACAGTGCCATTTTGGGAGACTGTGGTTCCATTTCACCCATTCTCCTTTGTTGTCTTGGTTGATTCCCCCCCCCCCCCCAAGGTAACTGGTAATCAAATTCTGCACTGAGCTCCATACGAGCAGGAGGTCCATCTGCTTGGGGTTCAGGGCAGGATTGTGGCCTTAAACTGTCTGCTTTTTTGGAGATAGGTTCATGTGTTTATGCAGCACCTAGAATAAGTGAAGTTATTTTTAGACATGAGGAATGCATATATTTTCTATTAATCCATTTAGATGTGCTAGGAAGTAGGATGGGATTTTAAGGTGGAAAAAGAGAAAAGAATAGATCTGCAACATATTTTTAAGTCACATTGGACAAAATATATTTTTTAAATTTTATGAAAAATGATTTCATTGAAGCATTTAAGATCTACTGGTAACACATTTTACAATGGCTGCGTGAATGGGTCTTCTAGGATTTTACTTCTTTTCAGCTTTGCCATGAGGTATAACTGGAGACATAATGTTCCAGTTTCAGCAAAGCCCTAGATATTCTGACAAACCTAAGGATCCTTAGGTTACGTACGTGCTTTGAAACAGTTTCACATCTTCTTTATTATGTAGCAGTTTCTTCAAGGTACAGGCTTTAATAATGTACCTCTATTGATACAGCTGTTGAAAGTAGTTAATTAGACTGTGTGGTGATTTTTTCACCCCAGTGGATTGAATCTTTTTTTGTTGTAGTAATAAAATGTGATGACGTACTCCTTTATGATTTTCTTAGAACAGCAAGCTACTTCACATACTTAAGGTCAATTTTTTCCCCTCAGGTAAATGCATGCAACTCCTGGGCCCAGTCCTGTACTCCTTATGTAGGCAGATGTTGAGTCCAGGTGGGTTGCAATACCTGGACACAACAGAGTGACTTCAGGGCAAAGTTTCATCCTTCTTTATGAACTTCCACACTTCTGTTGGGCCTTATTCTGCAGCAACATACAACAGTGTAAATCAGGATTATCTCCACTGTAATTAATGGATTGAAACTGGTGTAAGCAAGAGCAGAATCAGGCCCACTATTGCATTTCTTGGGGGTGAGTCTGAACTGTAAGTTCTTTGTGCAGACATGCAGACTTTTTACAGATTATATACTTAGCTTTCAGAGAAACAGGTGATCATAGTTCTCTATACTGTAGCCTTATTTTCTCAGTTGCTGTTTTTTTCTGTGTGCTTTTTAAGTCATACATGAAGATTACCTTTAGAAAAGTCAGCGTTATAAAGAGCACATCTTGAAGGTTAAACATCAGAACTGTGTGCTGAGTGACAAAAGTAAAATGGGTAAGCGTGACAACACATCTGTGTGTTTTCTGCTTCTGCTCTGTATAGATTTAATCTCTGTCAGCTAATACCTTTTGTCTACACTGTGTGCAAACTGACAGGTTTCAGAGTGGTAGCCGTGTTAGTCTATAAGTACTCCTCATTCTATATGCAAGCTGATGTTTTAAAAACCTGTTAACGTATTTTAAAACATTGCTCACTTTTTCAGTGTAGACAAATGTCATGATGATTCAATATTCAAATTTTTGGTGACGTCACACCATTTGATATATAATGGACCTGACCTATCTGGTTAAGGTAAATCCTCTCTCTGTGTATTTAATGCAGTATTGCCAGCTCTTGTTCCCAAAAAATCATGAGCTTCTGAAAAACTTGTGATTGTCTTGTGATTTTTCTGGTGATTTTTTTTGTTTTGTTTTTGAGACTTTCAGGATTCATGTTTTCAAGCTTTTCTTTGTAACCCTGAGGTCTAGGGTTCAATTTTATTTTGAATGAAATTAGCTGTGTTGTTAGTGATGCATAGTTTTATAAACTTTTATATTCTATAGAGTATAAAATATTACAGTATTGTTTATTTTTTGTTTTGTTTTTTACCATTTTAAAGGGACTTGACTGTGGAAGCGTGTATTGAATAATTTGTTTGCCGTGTCTTCTTTTTTAAAACTATAATGCTGATTTTGTAAACATTTTTTAAAAGTTTTGTAGCCCCTGGGTGTAAAATAGAAAATAGTTAATACTATCAAACAGGAAAATAAAATGCAGGATTTAACTATCTGCATACATCACCCGCATCAGGAATTGGACATTATTGTGAATACTGGGTATCAAATTGAGCAGGAGATGGCAATCAAGATAAGGAGTGTGTTTCCAGAAATGAAAAAAGATAAGCAGGAAAGATGGAAAGATATATTAAGTCAAAGACCCATCTTACCAAGTTGATTTGGGGGCATTCAAGGCATACCTTAGGCTTTTGGTTTATTTAGCTTGTGTATGATTTTACATATTTTCTTCAGTGCAAGAGAAGGCACGTGCTTGAAACTAAGTGAAATGTGGTGCATGTACTTTGATCTTTTGAATTTACATATTGTAATTTTTACAGCATGTGTAAAATGGACTAGACCACATACATTGTATGTGGCTTGAGAGTTTTTTTTTTCTACACATCTAAATGCACAATTCTAATACCTCCGTGCACATTTTACCATCAGTTTTATATGATTCTATGAACATGTTCCAGTATGTTGTTGAAAAACAGTTACAGGCTGAGACCATTTAATAGCCTGCTTCTTGTTGCCTTCTGAAAAAGATGTACTGTAATTTATGGTATTGTAAGCATGCTGAATTATACTAATAATAGGAACTGTAATTAAAACTAAACCCACAACATTCAAGATTCTGTTGGTCATAATATTACACAAATCGGTTTTGTTCCTTCTATTATTTTTAAAAAAAGTAGAAGAGGTGTATTACATGCAAACACCCAATCAAATAAAAATTGCACATTTCAGGAATCACTTTGTCACTTTGGATGGGCTAGCACCAGCAGGAGAGTGAATTTGTGTGGGGGGGTGGAGGGTGAGAAAACCTGGATTTGTGCTGGAAATGGCCCACCTGTTGATCACTTTAGATAAGCTATTACCAGCAGGACAGTGGGGTGGGAGGAGGTATTGTTTCATATTCTCTGTGTGTATATAAAGTCTGCTGCAGTTTCCACGGTATACATCTGATGAAGTGAGCTGTAGCTCACGAAAGCTCATGCTCAAATAAATTGGTTAGTCTCTAAGGTGCCACAAGTACTCCTTTACATTTCAGGAAGTGCACCTTGAAAGTGGGTTGATCTCTCAGCAGTTATATAAAACTTTAGGACCCTTATAAGTGGACCTCTTCCCCTCTTAAAATACCCTGAGGTTTTCCTATCAAAGTCAGTATTGCTCTTTGCATCTTTAACTTCTAATTTATGTCTTATGCCTCTTCTTTGTGGCTATAGGGTGGGATGGGTTGGGGGTATATACATAGGATCATACACATCTGCAGACCATTAACAATGGTGGTGTGACCACAGAGCCAGTTGTGCTGCTGGCGCAGGCATTCTGTACAGATCCCCATAGTTCTGTGGGGTTAGGGTTTGGATTTCCTATGGATTTTGGGGCTTTTTTTTCAAACAGGATGTCCTATCTGCTCCACAGGAC